CACAGCCCGAAATTCCCCTAGTTGTCGACTCTGACGGCCGCGAGTGGGCAACGAGCTCAGAGAAAGCAGAGGCATTCGCTCGCTTCTTCTGGAAGAAATGTAGCGTTGCCGGTCCGGACCTTGTGGAGGCTGACCTACCGGACCCTGCTCCCTCAGAGGCTCCACCTCTTCGATCCATCCGCTTCCGCCCACAGGCTGTCCGCCGCCTCCTGGCAAGGCTCGACGTCTCCAAGGCTACCGGGCCTGACGGTATTTCTGCTCGTGTCCTTAAGGAATGTGCTCATGAGCTCGCAGAGCCACTGTCCAAGTTATTTGCTTTATGCTTCCGGTCTGGAGTGCAACCTAGGATGTGGAAGACGGCCAACGTGGTTCCGATCCACAAGCGATCTTCCCGCTCAACCCTAAAAGAACTACAGGCCCGTATCCTTACTGTGCATAATCTCGAAAGTAATGGAAACTCTTGTAAACAGACACATCGTAAACTATTTTGAAGACCATCATCTGCTCACGTCGCACCAGTTTGGATTTCGCAGAGGCCTGGGAACATCGGACGCTTTGCAAGCTCTCCAAACTGCCTGGGCAAGCGCTGTGGGCTGTGGAGGGGCGGCTCGTATCCTTGCTGTGGACATCGCAGGAGCGTTTGATCGTGTCTCGCATGTCGGCCTCCTCCACAAGGTACGTAGCCTAGGCATAGATGGTCCGCTTCAGAGATGGCTGGCGTCATACCTGGACACCCGTTCCCTACAGTGCCTCGTTGGAGGGCGGACGTCATCTAGGTATACGGCCTCCGCTGGAGTCCCCCAGGGAAGCATCCTTGGACCAACGCTTTTCCTGGCCTACGTCAACGACGCGCCAGATGTTCTCGCTGACGGCGCCAGCTTGGAAGCCTATGCTGATGACACAACTTTGTACAGCTTAGTCACCTCCCAGCAGACCCCAACAGTGGCCGCACAGTCACTGCAGGTGTCCGTTGACCGACTGCACGAGTGGGGTCGTACATGGAAAGTGATGTTTGAACCGACCAAATCCCAGGCCATGACAGCCACCCTCAGACGTACCGGCTTAGATCTCCCCCCACTCCTGTTTGGTGGCACACTGGTGCCCGAGACAACCGCCATCACCCTCCTTGGTGTGAAGGTGGATGCCAAGTTGACCTTCAGCGATCACCTACGTTCCGTAGCCACCCGTGCACGCCAACGGCTTGGGGTCCTAAACAGAGCCGCCCACATACTCACCCCCGCCGGCCGGACGACCGTATACAAGGCGTTCGTACGACCAGTCATGGAGTATGCGCCTCTTGTATGGATGGGAGCTGCGCAGAGTCACCTCCAGCGTCTGAACAATGTTCAGCGCCGCGCGCTTCATGCTATCGGCCCTGGGGCACACCTACCCAGCCTGGCCATCCGCCGCACTGTTGCCTCGCTTGCCTGCCTGTACAAGCTGCACTACTTGCCTGGTCCTCCGCAGCTGCTCTCTGTGTTGCCACCGCGCCACATCATCTCTACCAACCCCAGAACTCGCAGCGAGCACGGTGCTGTCAGTGGCCATGACCACCAGCTCCAACACCAGCTGCCTGCATCTGCCCCGCTGGCACTGAAGCGCTCGTTCCCACACTGCAGCATCAGCGATTGGAACTCCCTCGCTGCAGCTCTCCTATCCCAGCCTCCCCACAGCAAGAGAATGCAATCATTCAAAACGAATGTTTACCGCCATCTTCGCAGCACAAACTGGCTCTGGGCAGTCGATTCCCTATGAATAGTATGACGCTAGGACAGTTTCTCCCCCACAATCGCTCGTGTTAAGCCTTGGGTTTTTGCATCTTTCTCACCTGTACAGCTCTATCTTCTTCTTTTTTCATTGTTTTTGGTGCGTGTTTTTGGCCGTGACGCCGAGACCTCAGGTCGGCAGAGTCATCAATGCCCCACCATCACTGCTGCGTCTCGGTGCAGCGCCTGCTCATTAGTTGTCACGTTTGTCCTAGTCTCCGTACCATTGTCTTTCCTTATTCCTTTCGAGCTGGTTATGTGAACGTAGTAAAAAAAAAAAAAAAACCTTTACCTCATTGTATTTCTCAGGTCAAGCCCCAACACAAACTGTTGCCGATGCAACTATAGATATATATGACTGTGTGGCTTTGGAACCCTCCGTTAATCCTGATGGGTCTATTCATACCAAATCTAAACCTGCAGGTAGGGTGCTCAGATCACATTTTGTGTTTCTGGATGTGTGCGTGCAGATAATTATGACTGTGGAAAGAATCTTTAGCCATGTTCGCGTTTAGCCTCAAGATTAGAGACTTCTTTTGAAATACTACCTCCGACAAGCGAAACTTGGCGCGATTTTTTACTTCAAATTACTCGAAATAACTCACACTTTACAATCAAAACTAATGATTGACTCACCAACATTCAACTTTGTATTGCTCAACAAGGACATTAGAGACATCTGTTAGGCTGAACAACTCTCCTCTGAGTCAGAGATCGCAGTTTCTTCTGGAGAGGAATTGTCCCTGTTTTGAGACGAAAGTGCGACTAGAGCGGATTCAGTTGCAGCAAGTACCTCTGTTGTAATCGCTCTGAAAATCTCGATGTCGCTCCTGTTTGCTGTGCTCGAGCCACGGTGTCGAGCGTAGTCGTTTCCGCCGCCACTATCCAGATTGACGTGGTAAGAACTGTGCAACACCTCCAAAAGCGCCTGGACTTCAACTGTTTTGCAGGATATTCTCGCCAACTTTCCAAAATTGCCTGCAGCAGTTCCTGGCGATTTTCCTGAGCCACCAGAGACGCATCGCTCTAGTGGCTGTTGAAAGAGGCGAGGATTGTTTGGCATGGATGCATGGACTCTATGCTGGCGGAGTGACCAAGAGGAGAGAAGGTGGATGCCATTGCAACGCGAAAGCACGACAATTCTCCTTCGCAGAATGGACGCGCGCACAGTTTTGCTGGTACATGAGAGACACGCTTGCCTCTGACTAAGTCTTAGCCATGTGGCACTCACCAGCTCGTCGCTTGGCTTCCTGCACCCCATTGCATAGAGCTACAAGACTTAGTACTAAGTAGGTCGTACCTCACAGCCTTGTGAAGTAGTTTTGGTACCAACACAAAATAATCCAAAAAAACGTGCCAAGTTTCGCTTGTCGGAGGTAGTACGTGCTTTTTATAGATTTCAGACGAATGCGAGCATGCATGCAGCAATGAACTCATTCATGCACCGTGTTAATGAAATGTATACTTTTGCATTCACGCCACATTACGAGATAGTGGTAGCGACTTTGGCGATGATTTTATAGCAAGTCCTCTCATGGGGGGGGGGGGGGGACTGTAAGTATGGTTCGGCATGGAGAGCGCCATTTGAGTTGTGCTCTTCAGACACTATCATCCTCAGCCTACTCAAGCTCAACTGATGAGGGGTGAATTCCACAAAACACTGTGCATTGAGAGGGAGCAATGCTTTCTTGCAGGTTTGCAGAGTCAAAGATCCAATGGATTTCTCATGTGCTCTGGATGCCAACCATCAGGCAGTCAAGTCAGTCAAGTGTCAAGCCTAGTTGGCGGAAAATCGCCAGCTACCGTGTGGGGAGCAAACACGTTTCCAATTCATGCCTCATGACTAGTGCATTTAAAACAGAGAGGTTCCAGGCTGTCCACTAGAGGTTCCAGGTTGTCCAATAGAGGTGCTCAGTGCCGGAAGGCAGAGCTAATTCCAACATGAATAAGAGAATGAAGAAGGTGTTTTTACTCCGAGTTGCACGAACTAAGCGATCATCAGAAATTTGATTTCTTGTTGTGACTAGTCAATTTAGGCAACACCGTTTTGGGGGAAAGGTTTGGTTATTAAAAATTTAAAAAAACTCCCTGCCAGCTGTGTTTGGGCATACTTATATTTGAAACTCGGGTATTGAGCCAATAATAAAAGTAGAAAGGAAAAGGACATATGGAAACGAGTTAAGAGTAACTCTCCACCACTGTAACTAGATACTATATACAGTCAGAAAGTGCAACAACTAGGCACAAAACTGACAGAGTACTGAGACATTCGACGTCCTGACACCTAGCTTCAACACAGTATCTAGTTACAGTGGTGGAGAGTTACTCTTAAGAGAGCATGTCTGAGAATACCAAAGTATGTGTGCAAGTGGATCTCTCCGATTTCGCTCAAAATTTGCAGGTAGGTTCCCTTTGGGGTGTGAATCAATTGTGCAAAGCCCTTGAAAAGTTTCTGAAGGGAACCTTGAAATTTGGATACCCCTCAGAAATGGCCGAAATATCACATTATTTATGGGTCTAGAAACGAGTCACGCCACAGCGTATACGAACAAGCTATGAACAAAACTCCACCAAGCCAACATTGCCTCACCTTAGAAGAGTTCCTGGAGCAGTACCGCTTATCAACGCCAGGATCCCAGAAGACGAGGTCCATCACCCCCTGACGCCACAAATGATCGTCTTGAAAATAGCCAATTTACAAGCGCTGGCAAAACAGCCAGCTACGTCCTCAATTGGCCAGAACTATACACCGGCAGATAGTAGAACACCTCTTCTAGCGCTGAGGACATGTCCCCCATCTTCCTTTTGGGGTTTTCTTGAAATAATTTTTTTGAATTTTTCCACTCGACCATGCTGAAATACGGCCAAAGTCATACCTGCGCAGGAAAGCTCGCCCCTCGGCGACGTCTCCTCAGCAATTTCTACTCCAACACTACTCCCAAGGCCGCAGAACAAAGTGTATTGTTGGCTCTGACAAGGAAAAGCAGCAGTGATCACTTGCCACTCCAAACGACAAGCTTCTCCTTGCGCCACCAATAATTTTTTGTGCGACTGTTGAAGCAAAAGTGACTGAAGGCATGAGCGCAATTCTTGAATTTTACTACAAGAGGCACTGTGAAATCAACAAAAAAAATACTTTGAAAAATACTTTGGTATTCTCAGACATGCTCTCTTAACTCGTTTCCATATGTCCTTTTCCTTTCTACTTATATTTGACTGCATTTTCTTAGGTCAGGTTCTGGTCCAGCCTGGCGCCGATTCAACCATAGACGTATATGATTCTGTGGCTTCGGAACCTTCCGTTAGTCCTCATGGTTCTATGAGTATCCAATCTAAACCTGCAGGTAGGGTGCTCACATCACATCTTGTGTTTGTGCATGTGTGTGTGGGGGAGGGGGGGGGGCATGCGGACGTAGTGAAATTTTTATCTGTATCCGTATTAATTGAGAAAGACGAAAGGACCAATAAGTTGCTAGTTATGATTAACATTCGACCACCAGTCCGTATACTGTTATCATAACACATTGATTAGGATATGTAACTCGGATGGTGAGCCAATTAAATTATGGTGAAAAAGGAGGACAAAATGTTACGAGTTATGACTAACTGTCCACCAACATAACCAGATCTTATACAGTCAGCGAGTGCGACAAAATCGCACAAAACTGACAAAGGAGTACTGAGACATTCGGCAACCTGACACCTAGCTCCAATTTTGTCGCACTCGCTGACTGCATAAGATCTGGTTACTTTGGTGGGCAGTTAGTCATAACTCGTAAAATTTTGTCCTCCTTTTTCACCATAATTTAATTGGCTCACCATCCAAGTTAAACTTTGCACACCTGATGAGCCGTCATGACCTATACGGCGAAATGTACGTCGTGTGGAACTACTGGTTAAAAAAAGTTGTTATTGTACATAACTAGTCCATTATCCGTGATAGTGGAGTTCAGTAGGATGTTGGCGTTTCGGTTTGGCATAATTCGTCTTCGCTTAGCTTCCCCTTCTATGTTTATTACATAAACTTGAGCCTCCCAAGTTGGGTGGTCTGTTGCTTTGCATCGTTGAGTTGTACCGTAGTGATGGGCATATAAGCACATGTGCCTATACCCGGCCATAAGCGCACCCTCACAAATAAGCGCACCCTCACAAATAAGCGCATAGGCTTATAATTATTGTCTCTTTCCCTCAAACCAGTTAATAGCTTATATTATTATTATTTGAAACTCGGATGTTGAGCCATAAATAAATGTAGAAAAGAAAAGGACATATGGATACGAGTTAAGAGTAACTCTCCATCACTGTAACTGAATACTATATACAGTCAGAAAGTGCAATAACTAGGCACAAAACTGACAGAGTACTGAGACATTCGACGTCCGGACACCTAGCTTCAACACATCTTCGTAGCGCTAACCAACAGCCTTCCAACTTGGAAGGTTCAAGGTTATGAAAAGACCAAAGAGGGGAATGCAAGCGCAACGAAAACGAGCAAAAGCCACAGTCCCAACGGAACAAAGAATGTCGATTGTTACTGGACGATGACGAGACCAGTACGATATTTGACAAAGCGGTCTAACTACAATTCGAAGCAGCAAAGCAACACACCACCCAACTTGGGTGGGTCATAAATATCAAAGATAAGTAAAGAAAGGGGAAGCTTTGCGAAAACGAATTGTACAAGCCGAAGCCAAACTCCTGCAGTACTCCTCATGCATGACATTGTGATGGACTAGTTGACTACAAAACAAGTTGTTTCACATGACGTACGCTTCGCCGTATGATTCGTGACGGCTCATCAGGTGTGCAATTTGAAACTCGGATGTTGAGCCATAAATAAATGTAGAAAAGAAAAGGACACATGGATACGAGTTAAAGGGGAACTGTCACCAAAAATTTTCTTTGTCTTATCTTGTAGTTCTTTGGCTCCTGATCACGATGGTGTTATTCGTTTTTCTCTGCGATGGCTGGAAGTGGGTGAAAACTTGAAAAGAAGGTGCCCAAAATTGTCCCGAAGTACCGAGTGACGTCACGCCGGACTTGACCTCCACGCGTACATTCATCGTCAAAAACAAAGTCCAGCCCGTGTGCTGGTCGATCGAGCTAGCTGTTCCAATGTACGGTGCACGTGTGCCTTTTGAACTGTAACACAGATGGGTACGTCGTACCGAAGGAGAATGCCAAAGAGGCAGAGACCCACGTGCAGCTACATAGCCAAATCAAATCAAAAAGCAGCTGAGCTTTCACCTTTTTGACTTCTTCCGCGAGGATCTAAGTAAGTTTTATTTTGTGAGCACGGAAGTCGTTGTTGTTTTGAACTTTTCGTGTGAGGAACAACACGATGATGAGTGCGTATGCAGAAAACAGTACTCCTCCGGCCGGCGATAACACCACCAACCCGAGCCCCAAAGGAACGCTTGTAGGTACGTGAAGGCGATTCATCTGGCGATGTTGCTGAAGATGCAGATGACAAACTCTGACATCTTTCATTTCAGAGCCGGGTGGGCAACACCGCCACCTTCGATACAACGACATAATTTTCAAGTACGAGGTATGTGTGTCACACTAACAGCAAACAAACATCCTTCGACTCCTTCGTAATCACAAATAAAACAAAGAGCTGGAGCTTCGTGGAGGAAGTACCAGTGCGACAAGCTGCTGTCGACTTTTGTTTATTCTGTCCCTTTTTGGCGTTCTCATTGTGTACAACGTACACATCGAGTGTCCGGGTTCAGAAGGCAAGCGTGCACCGTACATCGAACAGTTAGCTCGATCGACCAGCACACGGGGTGGACTTCGTTTTTGACGATGAATGTACGCGTGGAGGTCAAGTCCGGCGTGACGTCACTCGGTACTTCGGGACAATTTTGGGCACCTTCTTTTCAAGTTTTCACCCACTTCCAGTCATCGCAGAGAAAAACGAATAACACCATCGTGATCAGGAGCCAAAGAACTACAAGATAAGACGAAGAAAATTTTTGGTGACAGTTCCCCTTTAAGAGTAACTCTCCATCACTGTAACCTGATACTATATACAGTCAGAAAGTGCAATAACTAGGCACAAAACTGACAGAGTACTGAGACATTCGACGTCCTGACACCTAGCTTCAACACATCTTCGTAGCGCTAACCGAGAGCCTTCCAACTTGGAAGGTTCAACGTTATGAAAAGACCAAAGAGGGGAAGGCAAGCGCAACGAAAACGAGCAGAAGCTACAGTCCCAACGGAAAAAAGAAAGTCTGTCAGTTTTGTGCCTAGTTATTGCACTTTCTGACTGTATATAGTATCCAGTTACAGTGATGGAGAGTTACTCTTAGCTCGAATCCATATGTCCTTTTCTTTTCTACATTATTATTATTATGTGCATTTTCGCGTTGAAGTCGACCGATAGGTCCACTTCTTCGCTTGTGCTGGACAACGAAGGCAGGAGGATAACAAATGATACGCTGTGGGAAAAAATCAAACGATCACTGTATCAGATCCAAAAAAGCACAAATCAGAAGAAAAGGGGCAAAGGAGCAAAGGAGCCGCAGAAGTATAAAGTCAGTGGTGGGTGAGCAATGCAGTAGAGAGCATTGAGTGATGGTGTGATGGATCAGCAACAAAGGCACCATCCAAGCATACAAGGTTACATGTATGTTGAGAAGAAGTCAGATATTGCAGTGTCATCCATCCCTTAATTACAGATCCTTTTCTATCACCCGTTGACATAGAGCTCGCCACTCGGCCATATCCGCTGCAATCCTCCTGATTCTGTGCAAGTTCTCCAGACTACTCAGCTTTCCGGCATCTGCTGCCTCCAAGTCAGCAGATAGTGTACCCGGCAGGCTGGTCCTTGGCCGTCCTCTCCAGCCCTTGAGGTCCTTGCTGGTGTAGTAGCTGACCATTGCCTGGACGGCTGGTGTGCTGTCGGACAGACAGAGGACATGTCCGAATAGCTTCCATCGCTACATCTTGATGGTGTGACTGATCGGTTGGCTTTCACATCGGGCGTATAGTGCGTTGTTCGATATTGTTTGAGGCCACCTGATGCCTATAAGCGACCTCAGTTGACGCCGATGGAAGGAGTCCAGTCGCTCCTGAGCTGTCTTGGTAACCGCTCACGTACCAGAGTTGTACAGCAGTACAGGGATGATGAAGGTTTGGTATAGCCGTAGGCGAAGCTTTTCGTTGACCTGCTGCCCCCGTTTCCAGAGGTTCCACAGGCCCCGAAAGGCAGCTGTCGCCAGTTGCTTCCTCCTCAGCACATCCTCATCATCACCAATCAGACTTCCAAGTTTTCGTATTGATCTCCATTCTTTTTTGTTGCCATCATTGAGTCGCCGTAGCTTCTAGCTGGGAGAGCCGACGCCGACTGGTGCTTAACAAATCTGCGTCGTCAGCATTGATTTGCTCAAGCAGCAGGTGAAGATCAGCATGGGGTCTGGGAGCTGCTTCCTTTCTCAGTTGCCGTAACGCTGCTTCCAGATATACCGTAAACAAGACCGGTGACAAGGAGTCACCCTGCATTGTGCCAATAGTTGTCGGAAATGTTGGTGATGACGTTTTACCAAGGCGGACATGGAGCTTTGTTCCCGAGAGTAGGTATTGTATCAGACACAGTTCATCCTCGTTCACGACTTCCTTTAGTACACTCTTCAGTTGGTCACGTCTGATAGTGTTAAATGCCTTTTATAGGTCAATTCCGAGGAGGTGAATGTCCCAGTGAAAGCGTTGGGCTTTGGCAGCCAGCCATTTGTGTGCCCATACGACATCGGACGTTGACCGTCCACTCCGGAAGCCATTATGGGTCTCAGCTAGAAACTCCTCCACTTTCGGTCTGATCCTTGCAAGGGTTATGAGCGATAGTGCTTTCCTGAGCGATGTAAGTAGCACTATGGGCCGGAGATTGGACGGTGGTCCAAGAGGTTAATTGGACTTTTGAATTGGGATGAGGATTCCTCCTACTTCCACTGACTGATGATGGCTAAATATACCATTGATAACTGAGGAAAGGGTAGAAGCCATGGCGTCTCCTCCATACTTGAGCAATTCAGCTGGGGTATCATCTTCTCCAGATGAAATGGCTAAAGTTGCTCTCAAGTAATGGAAAGTCATCGGCTAATAGTCTCTGATCTTTAGCGATTAGCGCACGTTCTATTGCCTTTTTATGCCCTGCAGATTCTGGGGAGAAGGAGACAACTCTGGTGTATCAGGCTGCAGATGACATATACTCCGATGCAGGTCCACTTACCTGTACAAACCATTCTCAAGCAGCTCAAGGAGTATTTCAAGCTGCTGGTATGTTCAGTTTCACAACTCACTGCAAATAATGCAAGAGTAATGCATCATTTAAAACAATTTGCACACTAGATGAGCCGTCATGAACAATACGGCGAAACGTACATCATGTGAAACTACTTATTGTCGTAGTCAACTTGTCCACAAAGATATTGGCGTCCCGTTTTTCCTATTCAATTTCACAAAGCTTCTCCTTTCTTTATCTTTGATATTACCAATTCACCCATGTTGGGTGGTATGTTGCTTTGCTGCTTCGAATTGTAGTTAGACCGCATTGTCATGTTATTAACTGGTCTCGTCATCGTCATATAGTTGAACATCCACAATTGTTTTGTGCATGATTTGTTGCAGGGTCAGCCGCAGCCTCACCAAAGATCACTCTAGGCACAGTAAGTCAATGCCCTGTAGGAAACTTCACTGTTACACTGATTTACAAGCAAACTGGTCAATGCCAGCCGTCGATATTGCGTATATTTCTACTGTACCAGGATAAAGTTCATTGACTTGAAACGGTTCAATTGTTATGATTAGTGCAGCCATTTTAGGAAGGCAAAGTATGAAAGTGGAAACAGATGTGCATTTTCCTCCAAGGTTTGCACTCTTTCCAACTCATTGGCGATCAGAGCTGGCAAAGTTGAGCTGCACTTACATGTGAATTTTCAACCCTGTTGAAAGTCTGTTTGGAGGAAAACAAATTTCTGTGTTTACATGATGAGGGTGGACCCGGATCGATTACTGATATGGCGACATTAGACTGGCAGGGTCGTTTGATAACCCTTGCCCTAAGGGGAGAGTTCAAATCAACCCGGATTGACATTTCAGCCTGGGTTGTTGAAGAACAATGCATCGTTTTCCTGTATGATGAAATTCCCCAAACTGTCTGTTGTCTCGCATCGTTTTCCTGTGTAATGACATTGCCCAAACCGTCTATTGTCTCGCGTCTAAGTGTGGTCTGAGCATGATTGACGTGCGAGTCTGGAGTCTCGTCTTTTCAGTCTTCTTGTTTGTCCCTGGAGTTATTGTCCCTGTTTTCAGTCATGTCATAGTTATACTTGTTAGCCCGTTCTTATTTTTCGTGATCACAGCCATCTCGTTCTTACTCTACAGTCATGCATGTACATGACTTGTGTGTATCATTGTATGTACGAAAGTTTACATTGGGATCGTATATGCTTATACCAGTACATGGACGGTGCATGGTATACCAGTACATGGACAGTGCATGGTGCTGCATATGCACACCTTACAGTTCACATGTTTTCACTTACCATCAAGTAGAATAAATGTGTATCATCCAAACCTACATGTATTCATGAAGTACGAAAATGTGTATCATCCAAACCTACATGATTGTATTCATGAAATACGAAAATGTGTATCATGCAAACCTACATAATTGTATTCATGAAGTACGGAAATGTGTATCATCCAAACCTACCATCCAAACCATCCAAACATCCGCATTGTCACCGCCAGCACTAAGTATCTGGGCTCATACATCGGGGAGCCTGATGATGTTGCCAGCCAAGTGAGGGAGAGGGTTGATGATTGGTGCAAGGAGCTACGCACATTAGCAAAGTTTGCCAGAACAGAGCCTCACGCGGCTTATGCAGCTTTGATTCATGGCCTGCGGGGTCGTTGGGTCTACCTCTTTCGTACGGTTCCCATTCCGGAGGACGCAGTATCAGCGTTGGACAAGGTAATCGAAACTGAGTTCTTGCCGGCTGCAACTGGTCGAGATGCATTCACCGCGGAGGATTTGGTGATGCTCAGGCTGCCGACTCGTTTCAGGGAAATGGCCATTCCACACTTTCACAGCATGAGCGGGACAGAGCGCGACGCTTCCAGAGCAATGACAGCAGCCCAGGTTAGTGAAATTCTGCAACAGAACAACACATCATGGACCAAGCAAGCACCGGAACGTGTTCGGCGAGATGCTATGACAGCCAAGAAGGATTTTGCCAGACGACGCGGCACAACAAGTGAGGCTGAGTTCCGCCAGCTGCGGCAGTCGGCGTCGGCGGATATGGCGCGTCGTTTGGAGCATTTGTCCTCCCGAGGTGTCTCTAGCTGGCTCAACACACTGCCTATCAGAGAACACGGATATCATCTGTCGAAGGGAGATTTCAGGGATGCGGTGGCGTTGCGGTATGACTGGGCATTGGTTGATGTGCCTACTACCTGCTCTTGTGGCCAACCGTTTAGTCCGGCCCATGCCATGTGTTGCCCTACTGGTGGTTTCCCCACCATTCGGCACAATGAAGTTCGCGATATTCTTGCCGACTTACTTACTGAAGTTTGCTCGGATGTCGCTGTCGAGCCTCAGCTTGCTCCGGTTTCGGGAGAGGTGTTTCTGGCAGCCTCAACTATCATCGCCAACGATACTCGCTCTGATATCTGGGCTCGAGGGCTGTGGACCAGGGCACAGAATGCTTTCCTGGATGTCCGGGTTTTTCATACCGATGCTCCGTCCTATGCCACCAAACCTCTCGACAAACTGTTGGCGGAGCATGAGAGGAAGAAGAAGCTGCAGTATGCTGAGCGCATCATCAATGTGGACCATGGGACATTTACTCCACTAGTTTTCACCACGGCCGGTTGTTGTGCGCCAGAGTGCTCCAGATTTGTCAAGCGCCTGTGTGGCCTCATTTCGAGTGGGGACACGAAGTTGTATGCCGAGACAATGACATATGTCCGGTGTCGACTGCCGTTTGCATTGTTGCGGTCGGCGATCATGTGCATCCGCGGTGCCCGATTGTCATATCACCGTCCTGTGAATGCATTGCGAGAGTTGGCAATCTCGGAGGGCCGGCTGTGAGGTTTTGGAGACTATGGTGGGCAAGACAGTGCCCTTGTATTTTCCTGGGTTTTTTTTGGTGGTCTTTTGTTTTTTGTTTTTTTCTTGTTTTTTTGCGTGTTTTCACACATACAATTTTTTTCATTTTTTGGTGTTGTGTTCTAATCATTCGCCATGCCACTGTCAATTGTATTCTGTTTGCCCGTAAAAGAGGCCTTTATATTCTTCATCATCCAAACCTACATGATTGTATTTTTTTATATTTTTTTAGAATGTGTGGAAACTTTCTCAACAGTTTATTGACATCATACAAATCCGAGAAGAAAGAAAAAGGCCCAACCCTGCCCTGCCAGTTATTTGGACTTACGGGGGTCGCCAGGGCAAAAAACAAAAATAAAACTGCACACGTTCGAGCTCTCCGCCTTCTCCGTGAAATTATAATACCGTAAATAGAAAACTAGAGGGGAAAAAAGAAGCAACAATGAGGAATAGGAACTGATTTAGGAACCACTTGCAGCCAGTTGTACAGGGCAGCGGGCCTCGGCAACGGCCAAGGTAGCAGATGCATCCGCCACATCGCTGACGCGCATGGGGCGTCGCCAAGCACCACGCAAACAAACCATGCTGGAGCGAACCAGAGCAAAGCCAAGTCGGCAGCGAATCCACGCTATTACTCGGTTGTACGGCTCCTTCGTCTTGTCGGACAGGAGTCCGGCAATTCGCTTATAGTAGGCTGTTGCCGACTTGCCCATGCCGCCTGTTGAGGAGAGAACGAGAGGTGAAAAAGTTGCATGTTCGATCTCTCGAACACGCTCCTCATAGCAGCGGCGTTTCTCCCGTTTGTGGCGCTGGTAGCAGGAGGGTACTGAGGTGGAGCGATTTGAAGCCGCGAAATGGTTAAAAACCTGTACGTCGAAGAAAGTGCGGTCAAAACGCCCATCCCAGACACCACTCGCTGCTATATCCAGCACATGATTATATTCATGCAAAGTCACATAGTACACATGTACATGTAAGTGTAGATTATACTGTACATTACAGTTTACGTTCTAATCTGCAAAAAAAACCTTAAAAACTGGTGATATTCTAGCCTGGCCATTCTTCCGTGGTCCGCTCTTCAGCAGGCCGTTTTTCGACGCCCGACTGCACTGTAAACAAGTACCTCTCCTGCATCTCGCGGTACAAGTTGCCAGCCAGGCGAAGATCTGGTCCTGGTGAGACAATGACTGCGCTGGATCGTCTACGGGGTCAGATTTGATCTAGTGGCTTGATGGACAAAAGCTTGGATATTCACATGTACTTCAAGTACTCAATCTACAATCATAAAAGTCATTCATTTACTGTACATGTATGCATGGCAGAAACCAAAACAAAACCCGACCGATCGACCCTGGTATGGATGACTGAAGTGATCTGATACAACGAATAACAAGAAATAATTTTTAGGTGGCCTAAGTAAGAGCCTGTTGCCGGAATGGCGGTGTTTTCAAGTGGCCTAAGTAAAATTTAATTTTTGATTCAGTTTTTTTCTCCCTCTTTCGATCTTGCTAGCTGTCGCTCTCAAGGTCTCAATTTCTCTCTTTGTCTTTGTCACTCTATGTGTGTGCTTCTGTGCCTGTCTCTGTCCATCTCTCTGTTTGTCTCACCCACTCATTTTCGTACTGACCAGCCTTTTTTGTTCGTGCTCTTTAGGATTTGCAGACTGACGGCAATAGGAAGGATGTAGAGGTTATGTACAGTGTTGCCAACCCAAAAATCAATCGACAGGGGACTCCGCAAGCTAGAGGCAAGGGTGAGTTCAATGATTTCAAAAAGTCATGGACGTGTCTTACGAAGAGTAGATAAACAAGAGCGCGCAACTCCACATCGCTGCAGCAAATGTTTAACCAAGAGCGGAATGTTTGTTGACGGCACCTTTTTTCAGAAAACTCGACGTGTCTGGCAGTGTCCTACAGAGCACACGCAGAGCAGTGTGAGTCCTTGTTCCCTTAGTCCTTGGCTTGAGAAACTGAACAAGAAGACCAACTGACAAGCTGAATACAAAAGGTCGAAAGCACGACCTTTTCTCAAAGGTTCATGCCCTTAGTGTACCGCCCGCAAATTTTCAGATTGGCCTCGGCTGTGAAAACATGAAGCAAGAAATTCATCAGGTAAAATGGCAAGTTTAGCAAATGTTAGACCCGGCCAAGTGCAGACAGCAAAAGACTCGCAGCGCGTGCCTCGTAAGGTGTGACTCAATTTGTGAAATT